TAAAGAGAGTATACAACTAGCTACTCATACAACTTTAGTCATTGTCTAATTTAAGTAGTCTGCCTGAAGGTTCTACATTAGCTGCTATACCTGGAACCCACTTGTAGGTTCCTTATTTAACCACTTTGTTTCCATATTCACCCACCTACTTCTGTCTATCAATGACTCTAACCAATGTTAGTGAAAATATACCATGGCTACTAAGTCTTTAAAACAGTTCTTTGGAATCTTTGACCTTGTACTAAACCTTTCAGAATCTTCTGTATCTTATTTTTACACTAATCTGATATTGCTATAATTGAGACCAATATTGGCAGTTAGGGCATACTATTAAACCACTATGCTCTTATAGAATTCACCCAATCCTGGTACTGACTTTACAACATATTCTTACTACTTTGGTATTCAATTTAAGTTCTGCCAAGCTGCTATTTCAGATAACTCAGAAAGATAGGTCAAAACTATACATCTCTGGTTTATATGTTTGTTGGCATGTACTCTTTTTCTCTAGAACTTGAAAATTCTAGTGGCCTGGTTGGTTCATCTGGTCCCTCCTCAAAGACCAGCATATTTGCCTGGTTTCACAAGTTCTAGTTCCATTTCATAAGTCTAGTCTTTATAGTAATACTGTCAAAAGCTTGGGTTACTTCTTTATTTAGGTCTTTCAAGTAGACTTTTATCTTTCTTCTATTGGTTCCTATGATTTATATAGCCATGATGACTTATTGTAAGTTTGTATCACTCAGTACCAGTTTGCATTCCTTTGTGTAACCACTGACCTTGTCCTAAAGGACAATATCATATAACTGTTACACAAATGCCATGTGACCTGCCAGTCATGCTTGTGTAATATAGATTACAGGTATCTTATCCTAACCAATTGCAAGAGACAGTTAATCATAATACAGAGAGGATTTTCAAATTTTTCATCAATACTGAAATTTGAACTCTGGACCTGCCACTTGGAGGTTGACAACTTGACCACTTTACTAGGTCACCACATTCTAATTAATTCTAATTGTATATATAATAAAATACTAAATTAGCTAAAAATTAGAATAACAAAAGAATCTAATAGGTTTAGTCAAGATCAAAGATTCTTATATAAGTGAACTGTTTTTTTTTAGTTTGAAGCAATAATCTTGTCCATATGTCTTTATTAAGTAATATATAATTATATATTTTATATATAATAGTTTATTAATGAAAATACAACTAGTTATATATATAACTTTAGTCATTAAAGAATTCTGATTATAGGTTACTTACTAGATATCATACCTGAGACCTGTCTCTGAGTTCTCTATTTAAACTTTCTAATTTTCAATATATATTATATATATATGCAATGTTTATATTACTATTATAATAATATATTAAGATTAAAACTATCTTAGTTATTATTTATATCAAAATATTACCTTATTGGATATTATTAAGTATCTATATTCTTTTGAATTTATTTTCAATACAAACTTACTAAGTATGATACCAAAATTATCTCTTAGATTTATCTAATTTTAATGTATTTTGTATTTACTAAATTAGTATTAATGTCAAAAATGTTTGAATTTTAGTAAATTTATTTATTTTCTATAACTTTTTTTTATGTTTACTATATCACCTGTTAGTATACCTTTTTTTTATTTCTGATATGTTCACCACTTTTTTTACATTAGACACCAACTCTTTATATTAAAAAACTTTTTTCTGAAAACTTTCTTGTATACTGAACTTCCATTTATATGGACTTAATTACAAAACTTCACATATATTTATATGCTTCTATAGATTACAGAATTTTTGCTTCTAACTAAAATTGAACCATTAACCTTGTCTGTGAAGAAAGAGGCACCTAAACCACTAGGCTATGAGACCCTATTCCTTTGAGTAAACTGTTTTAAAAGCTTAATGATCATAATATATTTGTATTAGTAAAGATTAAAACAATTAATAAGATAAATACTGTAAATAAAAACCAAAATGTTTAAATAGAGAACTTACAGAGGAGTTCTAGGTATAACAACTAGTGTAGAACCTTTAGATGAACTACTTAAATTAGACAATAATTAAAATTATACAAATGTCTAGTTGTACACTTTTCTTATAGTTGTTTTTTGTAACTGTTATAATACAATTACAAAACTAAAACATACTATTAATAAAATCATAGATCGCAAGTATGATCATTGTTTAAATGGAAAGTGCAAAACAAAATAATATGATTTTTGTCTTTTTGGGTTATGACTTTTTAGACTTGTTTTTTTTTTTTTTAATGTTAGTTTGTCTTGATCTGACCACTTAACATCGACAGCAATTGACCAATTAGAATACAAGATCAGGTGAATTCCATAGTGTAAACCTATTGTCGATCGGTTGTCGAAAACTCAAGATAATCACGATAAATTTTTTTATCCAATCGGGTTATTCAGTAAACCAGAGTGCTAAAATACTATCTCCATCGCTATCTCAAATGAGATATAGTCATAATGTTTCGTTTTGAATTTTCGGTAACTACATGAATGTTTTTTAAAGGCTTTGTATCCAGAACATTTACGATGTGTATAATATACACTAAAATACTTTGAATTTGCCAGTCAGCTGACCTTGATTTATCTGAGGAAGTAGAGTCATCTGTTGAAACACACGTACAGGAAAATAATAGTCAACTTTCAAATTTTAATGAAAATCATTCAATTTTGGATAAAAATTCACATATTCCAGCAAGTGAATTAATCATTACGAGTCTGGTGGGATTTCTTTTTCCTATAATATAGAGGTTTGAATTACTTACTTTTAATAGATTAATCGATTAGTTATTTAATTATATTCTATTGTGTACTCTATTTAACATATGGGACTTTTACTAACAAAATGACCATCCGAGACATAGTCTCGAAGGGATCTTTGTTAGTAAAGATCCCATTATGGTTTTTGTAAATCAATCGATTAATCTATTAATCAATCCCAACCTCAATTACTATAATAAACATTAATTACATCATATTAGTTAATAATAAAGAGTTATATAATTGTTAGCCCTTTGTACTTCCATCAAGTTTAATGATTGAACGTGTCTTTACATCTATAATGAATGATAAAGAACCTACTGTTCTCTACAAGCGATGTCTTTCTGATATAAAATTTCAAATAGCACAGAATGATGAATTAGAAAGCGAAGTTAATCAGAATTCACACAGTACTGCAAAAATTCTAGAATTAACTGTTGATAATGATGTGGTGCATGGTTTCTACGAAGGTGATTAAAAATTCAAGTTTGATTTGAATAAAATAATATTCTTTTGGCTAATATTTATGATCTTCCTTCATAGGTGGACTAAAAACATGGGAGTGCTCATTAGATTTGGTTGAATATCTTTCAATCAAGTTGAAAGATGTTAATCTTAGTGGTAATAAAGTACTAGAGGTAGATGTACAAAATTGGTGTACAAGATAAATTTTTTTCTTGATACTTTTTTTAATATACTTAAACTGCCTACTGAAAATGGTTTTATATAAAAAAGTTGGGATGTGGTTCAGCACTTCCGAGCATATACCTGCTTTCTACTCAACATTCTCTTTGCGTTGATTTCCAAGATTATAATGAAGATGTTTTAAAGTTAGTCACAATACCAAACATACTTATCAACACGGTATTACGACCGCAATCAGATGACATTTTAGAATTAGATATTGTAGAAGAAACAAGTTGTCTGAATCAATTAAAAAATAGCCGATTTTTTAAGGGAGATTGGAATGAATTAACCGTAAATAAGATTACAAGTTATTAAAGATTTTAACGTATTTGGTCGTATCTAATATTTGTTTATCATAATAGGATATATTAAATTTACATTCAAATCAGGAAAAATATGACATAATACTTTCTTCAGAAACAATTTACAACCTTAACTCTATTCCGAAACTTTATAATGTTATTAAACATGCTTTGAAATATCCAAATGGTGTGGCGTATCCTTTATATTATTATTTTTTTTATTAATTTTTCAAGTTTAGAAGCAATATAATTCATCCTGATCAAATTTTAAATGTAGTTATATTGCAACAAAAACTATTTATTTCGGTGTTGGCGGTGGAATATTACCATTTCGTCAATTAATTGAGAAAGAACAAGTTTTTGAAGTTAACGTAGTTTATACAAAAACTGCTCATGTTAAAAGAGAAATATTAAAGCTTTCATTTATAATTAATTAAACACTTGCCTTAATAATTAACCTGAAATTTTGCCAATTAAGTGTACTCGTGTGTAATAACGCAAGTCTTGTATTGTTGAACCCGATAGAATATCTTAGGTAGTAACGAGTATTAAGGACCATGGCGAATACATCAACCTACGAGCATTAGGAAAAAACTATCTAATTGTGATTCTTGGTGTTTTTACAGTTCATAATTCAAAAATACATAATAAGAATAATAATAAACCGTATGTTTGTGCTGTTAGGGTTAATAAAGCATTTCGTTGCCTTTATACTCCAGAGCATTACTATTAACATGAAGTCAACGGAGTGCTTCATTAGCAACCCTATGCACAGTACTGCTACAAAAAGAGAATCTATTATAAACCAAGTAAAGGGCCTAAATAGCTACAATCACCATAGATGCACGGAGTATGTAAAACCTTTCCAAATACACGGTATAGTCCGGTCCCAGCTTATAAGAGCTCTATATATTTTGCTCTTTTTATAAATGCACACCCTCTCTAAATTATACATGTAGACGAAATTATTTTGACCCAAAATTAAAATTTGAAGATGAAATTTTTTTACTTAAAAGAGGAAAATTTTGATATTTGAATTGTAAGGAACAATTTTATTTGTTAATTAATAAAGACTTTTCTCAAAATATTATTTTGTTGATATTGCTATTTTAAATACACATTTTAATTCTTTTTCACTATTGCCTCAAAGATAATACACTTAGAAAGTTGCGATTGTAATTAGTTATTCCATGATCAATTTCATCTATGTATCTATTTAATTTAAATAATTATACGTATAAGTATCATATAATCATATAAAATCTTAAATATCAAAAAAATATATAAAATAAAGGTTTCACTCTAAATAAATATATAAAAGTTAGGTTATATAAATAATAAAAGATAAAGATGTATATAGTTAAACCTTTCAAAATATATTCTTTATATATAAATATACCTCCTAATGCATATCTTAGCTTGGTTCTAAGCCTGAAACTTAGACCATACAAACTTGATAAATTGATTCATATAACTTAGTCAAACCAAATTTTACAAAATTTTGAAAAAATTTCAATTATATTCACTGTCTAAGTAGGTTTTTTATATATATTTTTTATATATATATAATTTTTTGAAAATAAAATTGAAAACCAGAACCATTTCTAAAATTTTGTTATACGTAAAAACCAAAAAAAACTAATTTTGTATAACCGTGCATAAGTTTTTGAAGCCAAATAGATTATATACTTTTCGTAAATGTACACATAATAAATGTTACAAATTATAATAAAATTAAAGTAAAATGAAATAAGTTTCTATTTAACCTCTTAAAACTCACTTATACTTAATAAATATTAGAATTTGACCAATAACATACAGAATTACATTTACTTAAATACATACCTTACTTTTAGTTTTAAAGATATGCACCTAAAGAGGCTTAATCAATTACACTTATATTTAGTGCTCCGAACGGGTCGGTTCGGGTCAGGTTATGAGCCAACCCGAACCCGATCCGAAACTTCGGGTCGGGTCAGGTTGAAAACTTTCGGGTTAGAGCTTCAACCCGACCCGACCCGACCCGAAATTTTAAGGCTAATATATAAAATTTTTTAAAAAATGAATTCAGTCGCCCATTTTGCTCTTAAAATTCATGTAATGATGACTATCGAAGTTGGCT